TCTGAATTATACTATAACTGTTTTATGGGGTATAATTTTAAATATGCTCAACAAAGACATTTCAGTCATACATGGTCAGAAAATATGCCTTGGTCACATAGTTGGGAGATACCGCATTTCACTGTCCTTTTGTGTCCATTAAATTTACCCCATCAGTCCTGACTACTATAGTCTCCTCAGTTAGTCCCCCCTCTCCCTTCTAAGTAGTTACACCTTTATTTCAATATTCCTGTTTTAACCCTTTCACTCATTCTGTAGGCAGTTTCTGTAATTTTAACTCTTTCGTTTCTCTGTAAATTATTCTTTCATAGGTCCTGACCAGTTTTCCTCCCTTTTTCTGAATTCCCTTATGTGCTATTACCTCAGCAACCATTACTTTAAATTTGTATTCAAACTTGATTACCATGTCTTTATTAGTATATTTCTGAGATTATGCTGTTTCCTAAACTGAAGAAGCTTGCTTGTCTGCTAAGTTTTATATAAATACCAGCTCCATCAAACCTAAACTACTAGTACTCTGTAGGATTTCATGGAATTTAATTGTTGGGGTTCTGACCTGTTATTTAAGATGTCACTTGAAGTACTTTCAAATTTCATGTGCTCATCTGCTTTGTTATGATGCAAACATGCATTGGTTTTCTTCTTGTGGACTTCGTTTCTTCTGTCAGAGGTTACAATGAAAACATGGATTGGGAGAAAGGGGAAGGACAGCCATTTACATATTTTCTCTATGGAGCTGCTTGTTCAGAGGTGGAAATTAACTGTCTAACAGGAGATCACAAGGTAATAACTGAGTGAGGTGCTCCAACAATCACTCAGGTTTTGCCTTAATAAGTCACCTGTCTTCACATGATAGGAAATATATCAACAGTGTAAATACAAATTACAGGTGGAACAGAATGAAAGCTGTGCAGTATTAACCAGCTTTTGGCATGTCTCTATTAATGTCATATGGGTTCACCTTTTGGATTATGGCAGACATCTAACATGTTCTTTGCTTGTTCTTTCCCTGTTTGCCAGCAAACAAATTACAGCAGGCTTTTGACCATCTAGACAGCTAAATGTCATAGACTGCTGATCATATGCCCTCTAGGTATACTTATTTATGTGGGGATTTCCCTGTGCAATGGGAAAAATCTGGCAGAGCTGCCTTCTGTTAAAGTTGAGATAAGCCTATTTGGCTTGTAATGGGCTATTTGAAATTACTTTGAGATTGTGTACATGGAGGGGCCTCTGTCTTAGCATATGTTGTAACAATGAATACCAACTCTAACCTACATTATGTTTTAATACCTCCACTCCATGCATCTCTCTCAGTAATATGCATTTGCATTTTATTGACAGAACCTCAGAACAGACATTGTTATGGACATTGGATACAGCATAAATCCAGCTGTGGATATAGGACAGGTATTCCAAGAATTTCCTGCTGTCTTTTTTCTGTTAGACTGATAGCCTTATCTAAAGTGAAGATTACCTCATTAATTCAGAAAATGTTAATTTCTTACTAGATAATAAGTCATAGATCATATTAGAAGGTCCTTTACTTGTAGACTTGCCCCATTTGAGTCAGTGTCAGAGCTTTGTAGATGTCAGTGAAGCTTGAATTTTACCTATGGTGTAGTACTTCCTGTATGTATATATGCCCACTATCTATCTGCTGGACTTAAATCCTGTTCCTGATCTACAGTCTCCAAATTCTCCTGTTGTTTCACCTGCCTTCCCCACTTGATAGCAGGGAAACACCTTTCTTCATTGCAGGCTGGTCCACAGATCTCATCACTTCATCATGAAAGCATTTGTCTCTGCCTGGTATGAGAGAGGAGTGTGAAAGCTTTTCCTATCACGGTAGCCCCCAAATGTTGAAGAATCCCATTAGGCAAACAGGAAAGAAAATGGTCTTCTAACAGCTAGTGGTACAAATCTGTTCTTCCCAATGTTTTACCCATTTTACCAAACATGGGAACATAAATGTTATCTTTTTTCTTATTTAAAGATTGAAGGTGCCTTTGTTCAAGGCATTGGACTGTACACAATGGAGGAATTAAAATATTCTCCAGAAGGAGTCCTCTATACTCGGGGTCCAGATCAGTATAAGATCCCTGCTGTTTGTGATATTCCAGAACAGTTCAGTGTTTCCCTGCTGTCACCTTCCCAAAATCCTTATGCCATCTACGCATCCAAGGTAAGCAAACCATCACACAGCCTAATTCTTAGATCCCAGGATGAACAGAGAAATTGCTCTGATATAAAATATATATAAGTTTTCAGTTCCTCTTCTTTAACATTTCAAACAAGTGTCCATGAATTGTTTTATTTATGACACCAGGGAAACTAATATGAAAAGATATAATGCGGCATATTGCTGCATATCTTTCATGGTTGGCAAGTAGTAATTTTAGGGTTTTGTTAACAGACCACACACAGAAGCTGCAAGCTGAATTTAAAACCATACTTTTAAAATGTGGTGATAAACTAAAGGGTTAGAATAAAAATACCAAATAAATTGATGGAGAAATCATAATGACAATAAGAGTGTGCAGCTTACTTATGCGTGTTATGCAATAAGAAATAGGACTGTATGTGTGTATTTATATGAGAGATTGGCTCAAGTATTCAGTTGGTATAATCATTACTTCAATTTACACAACCAAATATTCTGGCCAGTTGCATATAAGTAGTAATGGTAAATCAAGATGAAGGTAATTCTGCAAATTTCCATCTGTTTCAAGTATTAGGTATGCTTTTAGACTATGGTAAAATAAAACAGCATGACAGGAGGAAAAAAGCATATTTTACAGCAAAAGTTGCTAAAAAACAAATAGGTCCTTTAAAATTATTTAAAGCTGTCTCAGAAATACATAATTAGAATAGTATTTGTTTGAAAAAAATGTCATATAGGTGAAGTAGTTACATAGTTGATTTGGAGCTGATCTACAGAGCTGATGCTAATATCCCTCTTCAAACAGAGCTTTTATCCTTTTCTGTGAACTTATCTCCTATAATTAACCTTCAAATTCACTGTAAGAAGGTGTGATTCGATCTTCATACACCATGTTTGGGGAAGATGTTTGGTTCTCAGATGTTAGCAAAGGGATAAGTAAAATTCAATTGCAATATCCCAATCCAGTCCAGATTAAAATGTTCAATACCACAGCGCTGAGAGAACTATGGAATAAGGGTGGATTTGACCTATCTTTGAGATAAGGAAAAATGTGAATCTTATGTCAGAACCAGTGAGAGGATGTCAAGCCCACTGAGGTCAGTGGTGTTTGACTGCAGGAAATTATCGTGAGTTCAAGCCTTGTTTCTTAGTTGTATCTGTACCTAGGTTTGGATTGGTTTAATTTTATCTGCTAGTTATTCTAAATTTCAGTTTAGCAGTGAGCCAAAAAGATTCTAAAATCGATAGCCAATATTTGAAATCAACCTTTTTAGCTCCCTGAAAGCAGCTACCATCAGAAGACTTGGTGTGATCTAAGCTTGCTTCCACTAAATCTAGAATAAGCTTCCTTACTGAAGGACGAAACACTTTTTAAAGTCGCTGTCTTTTAAGCTTTTTAGTTGATATTGATATGGCATGTACTCCTCTCATTTGCTCAAAACCTACATCTATTTGACTTCTTTTTTTTTCTTTTTCAGGGGATAGGCGAAGCAGGACTTTTCTTGGGAAGCTCTGTGTTCTTTGCTTTGAGAGATGCAGTAACTAGTGTGAGGAATGAAAGAGGACTGAAAAAGACCTTTGCACTGAACAGCCCTCTGACTGCTGAACAAATACGGGCAAGCTGCGCAGATGACTTTACTGAGATGGTAATAAGAAGGTGGGGGAAGGGTCTGTTTAAGTATCTCTGGGTAGAATTGCATACTGCTTTTGGCACCCTTGAATGGTGGGCTGCCTAATGATGTCTCCTATTGGTCATGCTTTGTATACAGCAATATCATATAGCTCCTTGTAATTGAAATGTCTGGTAACAGGTCTCACTCACACAAGTTACTCCAACAAATGCCGTTCAAGCATTGTATTGGAATTTCCCTGGTTTTTTATAATCTTTTTTTTCCTTTGAAATTTATATAATTTTCACAATCCCCTCTTTCCCTGAAGCCTCCTCCTTTCTTCTGCATGTCAAATCGTATAGAGGATTAAATAGCTCATCTTATTGACGTGCAATGGATGAGCCTCCAAGCATTTTCAGTCTCCTTCCAGGTGCTTTCCCCCAGTGACTTGCACTCTGGCACTGTCACCTCATTCTGGTACTCCTTGCTATGCCCAGTACTCTTTGGGAGAAAAATAATTAACTCAGAGCTAACGAAAGGATACGGAAGAAAAATAAATGAGGCAATACACTTCTTATAATGCTGATCCTTTATATTCTATGTTTTCTGCAACTGATCACTAGTCATATTCCCACTGCTATTACAATTCTTTTTCTGTGTAAGTTTTTATTTAGCCTATGACATCTGTGAAGCAAGGTCCTTGTCAGCATATAAATCCATACTGTGCCTGAAGTTCTGCCATAGAAACTCTTGAGCTCTCACTCACAGATTACTCCTGTAGTATTTCTGTGGTCATGGTGGGGCATCACTGGCCCCCAAATCAATAGGTTCATGGGCTTACTCTCATCACAGGAGCTTGTGGGAGGTGAGGTCCACCAGTGCAGAGACCATGCTTCTCCATCCCTGTGTCCCCCTGACCCCAGTTATCACTGACCTTCCTTCCAGCCATCTTCTGTAGGTATGTCCTGTTAGAACACTGTGAAGTGACTTGGAGGCACCTGGTAAGGGCAATATTGGGAGTTTGCCGGTCAAATAATATTATCAAGTCACTCTTTTCATTTCTTGCTTGTTCTCTTAGATGAAAAACAATGAATCTGCTTCCTCCACTCCTCGAGCCATATCTGTATGAATGACAAACCAGAGTGCACAAGACCTGAATGGAATGGAATGGAATGGAAAACTGATTTTCTGCCCCAAAACACACTAATCAACACACAGATAAATGTATTTTCTCATTTTCAGAATAGAATCAGCTGCCAAAAATATGCACGTTACATCTTCTATCCTTATCTTCATTCTCCATCCAGTATATTCATTACAGTCTTCGCTTAAATTACTGCATTTAATTGCTAGAAATACATCTCCTGCATTTGAAGCGTGTATCTTCAACAAGCTGCTGAACAGCTCAGCTCAAATGCTGCAGGAGAAGAAAGTTAGGATGAAGTATAAAGGTATGTTAGATAACACTGCCACTTACTGCCCTTAGCAACTTCATATGATAAATGGCTTTTTAATGGCCTCAGCTAATTTTCTAATTTAGATTTGAGTCTTGCAGTAGAGCATGAGTGCAGAGATCTTTGTCTGTTGAAGAATCAGAACCTTGTTTGTTGGATTCAGTCCCTTTTTGATCAGAAGTGATGCTCTAATTTGTAATAAAGCTGCTTTAGATTCTTTAGGCACAGACATCTTTGTGTTAAAAACATGCAAGAAACAAGAGTTATGATTTTCTCTTGCTATGCCAGGCAAATTGCTATGGCTGACCTACATATATAGGAGATGAATTTTATCCCAAATGTTGGAAGAGTCACTTAGTTACAATTTCTACCGGAAGCTTTCTTTTTCTCATGGAGTAAGCCAAAAGCCTCTGAACTTAATGGGAAAACTCACATGGAGTTCAGTGTGCTTTGAATAGGAGACTGGATGAACCTGTCTCTGTGTCATGGTTTAACCCCAGCCAGCAACTAAGCACCACGCAGCCGCTCACTCACTCCCCCCCCACCCAGTGGGATGGGGGAGAAAATCGGGAAAAGAAGCAAAACCCGTGGGTTGAGATAAGAACAGTTTAATAGAACAGAAAAGAAGATACTAATAAAGATAATGATAACACTAATAAAATGACAACAGTAGTAATAAAAGGATTGGAATGTACAAATGATGCACAGTGCAATTGCTCACCACCCGCCGACCAATACCCATCTAGTCCCCAAGCGGCGATTCCCTGCCCCCACTCCCCCCAGTTTCTATACTAGTTGGGACGTCCCATGGTATGGAATACCCCGTTGGCCAGTTTGGGTCAACTGCCCTGGCTGTGTCCTGTGCCAACTTCTTGTGCCCCTCCAGCTTTCTCGCTGGCTGGGCATCAGAAGCTGAAAAATCCTGGACTTTAGACTAAACACTACTTAGCAACAACTGAAAACATCAGTGTTATCACATGCTTCTCATACTGAACTCAAAACATAGCACCTTACCAGCTACTAGGAAGACAGTTAACTCTATCCCAGCTGAAACCAGGACACTCTGGGAAGGATTCTTAAGCAGTGCTTAATCCTGTACTCAGGACTATATTGATCCATGAAAGTACAGTTAAGAGCTTTCTCCCACTCTTGACCACTCCTGTGCTAAAGAAGGTAGAAAAAACATAATAAGATCAAAAGATGATCTGCAGAGATCAGTCATCTGATGCTGCCTAGGGTGCAGTGGGATTAGACCACACTCAGGTAGCAGCACCTGGAGAAAACAGGAAACTATAAAGCAGCAGTGTATTAAATGGTAACAGAAATTCTGGTGTTATTAAGTTTGAAGTATGTATATATTTGCAACCTAAGATGAGAGCAAGAAATTACACAGAATATATCAAAGTTAATATATTATGAAAGCTCCGGCCAAAATACTGAGATTTCAGCATCAGAATCCACAATATTGAACTGACTGAGAACTTCAGCCTTTCCCCCTCTTGAAGTGCAAAACTGAGTTTTCAGTTCTGAATGCACAAACACACAAATACACAAATCTCCATGGTATTTGAATTTGGGGCTTTGATCTGGCATACATCCTAACACAGAGAAAAAACTTCACTTTTTTATTGAGTCTACAGAAGTTACCCAAAGTAACACCTGAAAAATTGCAGCAGGTTCTTTGATAAGAAAGTAGAACTGGGAAAAGCAGTAGTTTGTACGTTCAATGTGTGGTTTCAGTGAACCTCTGCATCAGTTATTTCTTGCTGAGCATGGTGATTGCTCTTCCAGTTACTTACAGGTCAGATAGCTCCAGAGCCATGAAGACTGCCATTTGTAATGAAAATAAATGGCTTTGATTTGTTTGACACGTCAGCCTGTAGGCTCGTATTATTTCACTGCTCCTCAGTTTTCCATGTACTGTTTTCTCTTCTTGCCTTCCATCACTTTTAGGAGTTGACACTGTATATGTAACAGGAATCAGGTTAGTAGGTTAAACTGGTTTTGCATTGGCTATTAAGATATGAAGTCTTTATTGTTTCAATTTGTTTGTCTCTCTGTAACCACTATGAGTAGGTGAAATTCAACTGCTTAAACATAGGTGTCCAGACCATTTTAGATGTCATAAGGCAGCAGAGGCATAGGAGAGCACAGGACTAGAAGATATGACATAGCAACTGGAGGCCAAGCAGGTCATAGCAAATCATCTGAAGTGGCACTAGAAATGTGGTTTAGGCAGCTGAAGGCCCATTGGTTTTTACTTCTTTTTCTTCACTTTCTTTGTATTAAATTGGCTTTTATATGTTGTAAGAAAGTCAATAAATCAAATAAAATATGAATGCTGCTGCCATAATTAGTTTTTCTGATTTGAAACATCTTCTTAGTTTCACTGCATGGGCCTGTTAATGACAGCTCACAACCTCAGGTATTGATAACAGCCCCAAAACATAGGTAAATCCTGGGATATGTTGAAGCAGGGAGCATATAGATCTACTGAACTGTGGGGAAGGTGCATTGTCTGTTGTTTTCCTATGGACCTATGCGTCAGCACAGGTGCTCGTTAGTTCCAGACAAGTCAAATCTTGTAAAAATCGTAGCCCAACCCTTGCAGGCAATGATGTCTCCCCACCTGTGGTGCTGAGGTGTTTGTACTCCAGGGATTCATCATGTTCTAGACCCACACTTTGTTTTCTGTTGTGCAGATCACACATCTGCTTGTCAGTATTTCTCAATTATTAACAAAGATTCCTCCCTGCCTCTTCACAAGTGGTGGTGTTGTCTGGTTGTCTCAGTAAAATCTATACATGGTTTGTCGGGGTTTTGGGGGGCTGAAACATTAAGCTGTCTCCTGGCTTTTAGGTGTTTGAAAAACTGCATGGAAGCTAGAAATATCAGCAATTAAACAACCTGACAGATGATACTATGGCTACGTGGGATATTATGAAAGAAATTTTATTAGACTATACAGGTGTTAAAGGGGGGGGGGGGGGGGTTAAATTTTTAATATTTTTTTTTAAATGTGCAGACTCAGAGGTCTAGATAAGCAGAAAGGTTAGGGCTCCAAAGGCACTGACACGTTGGATGGCTATTGACACATTAATGTGCACTGTTCAGAAACACCCAAACTGGAGATGGTTGAGAAGAACTCTTTCTCCTCATTTTCTTCATGAAGGAAGTGTTTCTATAACTATCCACCCTTGGTACTCCTCTCTGTGTGTGTAAGCTTAATCACCTAACATAAATTCTAGGTTCTGGTTTGGAGACCTAGTACTCTGAAAATTAGATACTGGATGGCCAAAATCTAGTATTGGGTCTGGTTCTTTCTCTTCTTAGGCCTTTGAACCTGCATGGTTGTACCTACAACACATGTGGAATACTGCAGCAGTGCTGCAGTTGGCAGGACCCATTAGGGCTTTTGCCTGCAGGACCTAGTGACTGACATTGCTTCAGTGCTTGCATTGTGGTAGCTCTCGGGCATACATTAGGGGCTAAAACACAAAAGCAGTGGCATATCACTGCTGAGAATCATTTTCTTTCATTCTAATGGGGAGTGGTAAAAGATCTGGGACTGACTACTTTGTCCTGCAAGCCTACTCTGACTCAAAATACAGAGACCTTTGCTGTAAAATGTAAAAATGGTAAATGAAACAAAAGACATGAACATACACAAATGGAGACTTTTGAAAGACATATACATGAGTCCCCTTCTAAAAAAAAAATAAAGGCCAGCTGTAATAAAGCATTTAAAGATTAATTACCTTGTTTCCTGGATACGCATCTAGAGAAACAGATAAGAATCTAGACTCCCAAATTAGGGTTTGAGATTTTTTTCTCTAAGAACATAATATATCTAGAGCATGGTCATCTTACAATAGCACCCACAGCAGTCAGGGTATAGAGCTGGCATGGTATAGAGATAACCAGAAGGAAATTTTAAATGTGTGTGTAGTAGTAATCTTGACTTTGATAAAACTTGGTCACTCTGCAGGAAAAAAAATATAGATAGTTCAGGTCAGTGACAAGATAAAATGAGAAGCATGGCTCCACAGCTTAGCATTTGACACCCCACAGAAGTGGGTAATGTTGCATGTCCTCAGTTCTAGCTTCAGGAATTCCTATGTATTCTAAATTCATCAGTTACTGAATAATATAAAAAAAACAGGCCTGGCACTAGTAGCTCAAATGCAGAAGTCCCCCTTCACAGTTAAGTGCCTTATGTCTTAGGTTACAAGGTTAGAATTAGAGGGCTCAAATTCTTTCCAGGTGATTTCAGCTCATCAGAGAAGAGTTGGGGTGGAGAGTAGGAGTAGAAAGTTTGGTGCATTAGCATCTGAACATGTATTAATTGCTGAGAAACAGCATACATTACGCTGGCTCCTCCCCATCTACTTAATTTGATGCTCAGTCTGAAAATAAATTCTGCAGAACAAAGCAAACTCAGTTGATTTTCAGGAGCATATAGCATTTAATTAATTTCTCTTGATGTGTAAAGCTTTGTTTTTCAGACTTTAATGCAATAGCATGGCTTGTCCCCAACAGATGAGCTTGTCTTTTTTGTGAATGGCAGGAAGGTAAGTTTTTTAATACTTTTTTTTGAACAACAGTGCTTTAATGTTTACTGTTCGTATTCAGGAAAGCTGTTATTCTGGAGCAACAGTTTATTCATGGATAATCATCTCTTGTCTTTGATCTTACATATAGCATCCTGCTTTCTACCACAGTTTTTACAAAGTTTGAGTGACATTGTGCCACCCCTTATATCACAGAATTTTTAGAATTATAATTAGTTATCTGTTTACTAAAACCTTATACTAATATACTCCTAAAGTTGGTGTAGTTGGAGTAAATACATCACTAGTAAAAGAATATGCTGCTTACTAATATAGTTTCAGTAATTCACCAAAAGAAAATAAGTTAATTTTCTTCTGTTCTTGATGCCAAAAGCTCACATTTCGTTTTCTAAGATGTTTTGTCACCTTTTCTTACTTCGCTTGTCAAGTGAGTGAAAAATCCTATTAACAAACACATCACCCAAAATATATTATAAGCTGAAATGAAGGAATTTTATTTCTTTGTTAAAAAACAAACAAAACAACCTTGCTATGTATTTTTCTAGAGATATTTTTCAGTTGTTTGGTCAACATTTTTATACTCTAGAGAGAGAGTACTGGCTTTCTTTTTTTACCAGGTGAATTAAGGAAAAGTAATTCAATTTTTTTCTATCATTATATCTGTCATTACATGCCACCTATGCTTAAAGGCATACCCTGAAACCTTATTTCACTCCACAGTTCCAAATAAATTCCTGAACTAGTTCATGTTGTCTTACACCTGGTAAATTGGAGCACGCTGCTGGTATAGCAGAACTGTTGAGAGAAGCCTGAGGTTCAGTGTCTTTTCATTCTGCAGTGATGGGTCTTAAAAAATGTTTTCCAAGTTGTTTGTGTTATCTTGTCTCCAACAAGCTGAAGCATGCCAAGGATACATCAACATTCTTGAGACAAGGCTAAAACAAAGCCTGCATAAGCCCTACTCATACACATTAAACTTTATTATATTTAAAATATAGTTAGTATCCTCCCTGCTCTTCTTATACTAAGATTTTCCTGTGCTTTTATGCTGATGGGTCTTTGCAAATGAAAGGGTTAATAGAAACTTCAAGGAGGTAAAAATACACAGAATTTTCACACACACAAGTGAAGGGATTTCTGATTCATGCTGATAAGAATCAACAAAGGATCTAGTCCAAAGACTTTTCTTTCTACTCTTGTCCATCTAGTGCTTACTCAGTCTCTCTTCTCTTTCAGTTCTCTCAGTAGACTATTATTTCTATTACTTTAAAAGGATATATTTGACCAATACTGCCTGAGCCATTCATTTATTTGTCTGCAGATTGTGATCAAGAGACGGGATCCTGTTGCCAAACAAACACACCCCATTAATCCACAATCACTGCATTTCAAAATCACAGTTAATCCTTGTGAGATGATTGTATCAAATCCCTCTCTAACTCATAATCTCTTTTTTTATTTCATAATGTAGGTAATAGAGAGGCAGCTAGATGCTGAAGAATTGCTGCTGTATTATCTAAGAAAGAAGCATATCCTTTTTTTGAACTTTACCTTTGAGTTCTATAATTCTGTAAATTACTGCAACTGGGGACTAAGATGATTTGTTTCACTTTGGGATCCGATGTAAACAGAACAGTAAGCAGAAATAACACAACTCACCTTGTATATGTTCTTGGCAGAGCAATCCAGTGCTGTATGTGCATTGTGTGTGTTAGTTACAGGGATATAACATTGTAAAGTTTGAGTGTAACTCTTCTAAATGCTGCCCAATCTTTACAGCTTCCCAAAGCACAAAAAGCTTTCAGTACATTTGTGATGAAAATAGTAACTAAAGAAATTACCCCAGAACTACTTCCATAGTAAATAATTTATTTAGGCCCCAGTCCTTCAAAGAGTTTTGCATAAGCTGATTTTATTATCTTATTATCTTTATTTTCTGTCATTTGAGACTCTTCAGGTTGCTAACTGCTGTCATGGCTCTGTTGACTTCAGGGGCAGTTACCCCAGCTAAGAAGCTGCCATGCAGGTTATAAAGTTAAGCAAGTGTGTTTAGCATTGCTGTTGAAAGCCTTCCATGCTGGCAGAAAAACAACATTAATTTAAGGATTAACTGGAGAAGGGCAGTAGTGGAAAGTAATTTATTAGCTGCACATTTTTATTAGCTTGGATTGTGCATTGTCCAAGCATTCAGTGGAATAATTAGCATCTCTTTAACAGTCAAGCAGTGTAATATGATTAGTCATATATTGATTACCAATGGGAATGCACTAGTGGATAAAATTGCACTGGGTATAAAGAAATCTAGAAACATGGTGAAATCAGATGGAAGACATCATCTAGTACCTAAGCAAAGTCCATGCAAATGCATACACCCAGTGGGAATAGTAATAGGATTATGTATCATTCTGCAAAGGAGCTAAAATGAAAGGAAATTATAGATTCCACTGGACTGCAGGGCACTGTGACACCAGAAGAAGATTGTGATTTGAGGGTGGAGCATTTACACTGAGGCACATAATGGAGGGAGTCCTTCCATATAGAATTTAGCTGTGTGCACTGGGGTATTTTGCTCCATTTTAAATTACTCTACTCCTTGGATGTTGAGGAAGCAGCACTGGAAACATGCCGAGCTCTGCTGGTACTGTTTTGCAAATGCAAGATACAGATAATCATGTGTAAGGATTAGGAAAGTATTATGAGTAAGGCTAATAAGAAGACCTGTTGCTGTATTTGTTCAACCCATCCCACTTATAGGGTCCTGATTTCACTCTTTTGGCCATTTACCAGGTATTGACCGTAGAGACTGAAAAAACTCTGTCTTGGAAGTCTGCCTCACACTCATTTCTCAACCTGTTCTTACCCTTCTCATGTATTTATGTCCTCTATTTTCATCTATCTTGTACACATTTTCCCGTCTCTGGAGCTATCTGGTCAGAAGATCCCTCCAATTCTGCACACGGACATAAGCCAAGGGAGACTCAGAATAATATAAAGAAAAAATAACTTCTGAATGTTGGAATTTTTTTTTCTTTAATGCAGTCCATCTCTCAGGTACAAAATATGGCTGTGGAGTAGGAGGCTGTGGTGCCTGCACTGTGATGATATCCACATATGATCCAGTTGACAAGCAGATACAGTATCCTCGCACTGATATTTGGAAATAGTAATCTAGTGTTTTGAGAAAACTGACATTCGCTGGGAAATACTTGGTTTCTTTCCATTTAGATGGATTTTGGGAAGTTCTGGTACAAATTTAAAAGCCTTACCTGTAACTTTCCTCTACAAAGGTGATTACAGGGTTGCCCTCACTGTAACACAGTAACAGAGATTTAGATCCTCTCTCTTCAATCTTTGAAAAAAAACCAAACCAAACCAAAACACCACCCCTACCCCCAACTTCCCCCCCCCCCCCCCAACTTTCTGTGGGAAATTATG